GCTGTGTATGGCAGTAGACTTGCGAAATGTAAATCAAAACTAATCAGCCAAGCATGACGTAGGCCTGTTCCATTAATGATGGGGAATCCATTTTCGCTGCTGCAGTCCAATGCTGTGAACAACGCTTCCCAGTGTGTCTGCTAAATTTTAATGGTCAAGGTACCGCGATCACGAGGCCTATGCTAGGCATTATAGGCTAGGCTTACATGGGCTGGGATTTGCAATAAGGTCTTGGACTAGGCCTCTATACTATAGATTAGTAGGAAGCCTAGTCCTGGACTAGGCCTATAATCAGGGAACAATGAAATTCACTGTTCCCTGCTATAATATAGTAAAATTATGTATAAGTAGTCATATGTTTACAAGTTTACACTGTCCCATTAACGAACACATTTTTTTTTTCATTGAAACTTTAAAAAATAAATAAATATATAAATAAATAATAACAATAAATAAATAAATAAAATAAAGAATAAATAAACACGAACAACGCGATAGGATATGAAGTTTGAGAGAATAATTGGTATACTGTACTGTATTTCTGAAGTGCCATTCCTTTTGGGGTTGCTACAATCAGGAGTTCTAATCGATCCAACAAAGGAAAAGCACTATCAATTTCCTTACATTCCACCAAGGAGGATTTGGGATGCTATTTAAAATTTTCTGGAGAAAAATTAACTGTTGAATGCGTTGTTACTGGTTACAGAACATAGAATAGTACATGACTTTAGGACTGGTATAGTCCTACTGTAGACCCATGTACTCTAGGTGTAAATAAATACAGAGAATAGGCCAGTTTTAGTGAGAAACAAAACATGTTTTAATAATGTATACTATGCAAAACAGATTGATCACAAAATCAGAAGCATGATCTCAAACATCAGAACCCAGCTTTTATTGTTTAAAACTGCAGGGGCCCCATTGAAAGAAACTACAGTATTATTGTTTATATAATATTTTTAAAAAAACTGCCATGTCGGGGCCACTGATTGTAACAACTTTTGGTTGTAGCAACCCCAAAACGAATGGCACTTCAGAAAATACAGTACAGACCAATTAATTATCGCAAACTTCATATTTATTCCTACCGCGTTGTTTGTGTTTTAAGTTAAATTTATTTATTTTTTTTTTTAAGTTTACAGTTTTTTTTTTCAATATTTTAAAATCCTTAAGTTAAATTTATTTATATCTTTTTAGGGCTTATTTTTTTTTTTTTCAATGAAAAATAAATGCGATCGTTAATTTTGACCCTTTGGTACAATGTAAACCTGTAATCATATGACTACTTATACAGACTTTCACTATATTATAGGCCTAGCCTAGGACCAGGCTTCCTACTATAGTTTGGCTGTAGAGGCCTCCTAGTCCAAGACATTGTTGCAAATCCCAGCCCACATAGGCCAGACTATAATACCTAGCATAGAGCTCGTGATCGCGTACCCTGACCATCAAAAATTAGCAGACGCACTGGGAAGCGTTGTTCACGGCAACGGACTGCAGCGGAAAATTGATTCCCCATCAATTATGGAACAGGCCCACGTCATGCTTATATGATTAGTTTTGATTTACATTTCGCAGGTCTAGTGCCATACGCAGCAAAATTCCATGCCTATAGTGTCGTTGTAAAATGCATTTCAAACCATGCTGGTTTTGATTTACGTTTTGGAGAGGGCGTTTGACCAAGTCAGACCTACGTTTTGAATTTGAATTACATTTTTTTTAAAGAAATTAGAACTACATTTTGGAAAATTTGAACTACGTTTTCAAGGATTAGAATTTCATTTTGGGAAACTAGATCTACATTTTGAGAAATTTACGCCTACGTTTTGATAAATTAAACATTGAATTTTTCAATTAAACTTTGATTTTAACATGGACTATTGCTGCGTATGGCACCCCATAGAAGGCAACGCCATTCAGAGCAGTGTTTGTC